GGCATCGGCGGGATGTGGCCATGGGCGCATTGGTATGCCCGCTGGATTGCGCCCGGACCTTGGTATTCAGGCGGACGGCGCGCGCGTGTTCGGACTGCGGCGGCGATGGCGATGGAGGAGAAGGGCGGAGGAAGAGGAAGGGTAGGAGGAGGAGGAGGAGGAAAAGGAGGAGGAACAGAAGAGGAGAGAGAAGAAGTGAGGTGGAGGAGGAGTGGATGGTTCGCCGTCATTGGCCTTTTTTCTTCTCTTTTCCGCCTCCTTCTTGCTTGCTTCCACCAATACCCCTCTCTTCCCCTCTCTCTCGCTTGCTTTCTGCGTTCTCTTCTCGCTTGCGTGCCTGATTTTCCGCCTTTCCTTGTCCTTACTCCCCTTCCTCATTCCCCCGCATCGCCCTTTTCCTCGTGCTGGTTTCTCTCTCTTGCAGTTCCCGTCCATTTCCTATTTTTCTTCATTTCCTCTCTTTCTCCCTTTTCTCCAAATTTTCACTCTCTTTCTCTCTTGCGACTGCGCCTTAGGAAGCATTCGTTTGTCTGTCTGTTTAGACGTGGGTCCTCGGAGGGTTAAGGGGAATGAAAATAAAAATTCCCGGCCTGCGAGGAGTGATCTTGTCGCGCTCTCATTCTCATTTGTATAACATAGAGAGCAAGACTTCACCCGCCCCCCCCCTCCTGTCCTTCTACTCCCTCCCTCCCTCCTTCCCTCCTTCCCTCCTTCCCTCTTTCCCTTTCGACCTCCCTCCCTCCCCACCCTCCTTTTTTCTCTCTCCTCTTTTCTCTCGCCTTTCCTCCCTTCTCCCTTTCTCATCCCGCTTCCTTTTGTACGACTTTCTTGTTTCTTCTATTCGCCTCCCCCCCCTCCTATTTTCACTTCTCCCTTTTTCCCTTCAGTTTATCTACCCTACCCCCCTTTTTCTTGTCTCCTCAAAAAAAAAAAAATCTAATTGTTTGTGTGGGCTTTACGGGAGGGTCAGTTCTGGGGGGGGGGGGGGTTATGTGGGCTAGTAGGCACGCACGCACGCACGCACGCTTTGTAATGTGCTCGTGTACATCTCATCGATTTTTGACTTTGTTACGGGCGGTGGAGCGCGCCGTAACCCTCCCCCCTCCCCCCCTCACCCCCAACCTTCCCACCTTCCCCATCTACCAACACATTCCCATTCGGCTCTGTCGCATCTCGGCCTCCCCTCGAGACCCTTCCCTACCTTCCCCGTTCCCTACACCCCCCCCCCCCCTTTCCCGTCTCTCTAGACCCTTTTCTCTTCCTTCCCTTAGCCCTTCGCCCCCCCCCCCCTCTCCCCCTCTCCTGCTTCCCTTAGCCCTTCACCCTCCCACCCCCCTCCGACCGCCGACCGCAACCACCGCTACTGTGTCACCGAGAACCGCCGCCGCTGCCGTGCTATCGGCGTCGTGGCCTTGGTTCGCTCGCACGCTCGCCCGGCCGGGCTTGGCGTGGCGGGGCTGTCTGCGTTGGTTCTCTTATTGGAAACCTGTATTTTTGGCTGTCTGTCTGTTTGTCTCTTTCTCTGACTCTGCCTCTATCTCTATCTATCTATCTATATATATATATATATATATATATATATATATATATATATATATATATATATATATATATATATATATATACACACATTATACACACACGTGTATGTGTATATACATTTATATATATATATGCATACATATTTTTATGTACATATGTATATGTGTATGTGTGTGTATATATATATATATATATATATATATATATATATATATATATATATATATATACACATACACATATACATATGTACATAAAAATATGTATGCATATATATATAAATGTATATACACATACACGTATATATACATATATATACATATACATTTAAATAAATGTATGTATGTATGTATCTATCCCTTTCCCTCTCCGTTTTTCCTCCATTCGTCCTACCTTCGCTCCTCCCGCTCTTTTCTCACACAGATTATGTGGCCCTTCTCGCCTTCATAATTTCCTTCCCTTTTCCCCTCTTCCTACCCTTCCCTCTCTTCCCTCCTTGCTCCCCTTTTCCCCTCTTCCTACCCTTCCCTCTCTTCCCTCCTTGCTCCCCTTTTCCCCTCTTCCTACCCTTCCCTCTCTTCCCTCCTTGCTCCCCTCCCTCCCCCCTCCCCTCCTCCTCCCCTCCTCCTCCTCGCCGCAGCCTTTCCTTATTAAGGGAATGAAGAAGTTTGTCGTCCTCTTCCTCTGCCTCTTGTTGACTGTGACCAACTTATCTGTTTGTCTTTGTTTAGTTGTTTGTGGGGGGAGGGGAAGCTTTGTCTTTTTTTCTCTTGACTTTTGAAGTGATTAAATAGAGGCTCCATTCTCCTTCTTCTTCTTCTTCTTGATTTTAATTTTTCCTGCCTTCCTTCTCCTTCATTTTTTTTTCTATTTTCCTTCTCCTCTTTCTCCTTCTTCTCCACTTACTCTTCATTTTCTTTCTTCTCCCCTCCTCCTCCCTCCTCCTCCTCCTCCTCCCCCTCCTCTTCTTCCTCCTTCTCTTCTTCCTCCTTTTCTTCCTCCTCTTCTTCCTCCTCCTTTTCTTCCTCCTCTTCTTCCTCCTCCTCTTCCTCCTCTTCCTCCTCTTCCCCTCCCCCCCTCCCGCTTCCCTGGTCTTCTGGCAAGGCGGCGAATCCCGAATGCCGTGAAACCGAGCTCGTTTTCTTGCTCTGGCTTGCTATGGGCGACCTTGCCCGCTAGGACACGTGACCTCTTCGTCTCACCCTACCTTCTTCCTGTTCGCTTATATTCCTTCTTTTTCTTCTCTTTCTTCCTTTTCTCCTTTTTCTTCCTTTCCTCTGTCCTTTGTTCCAGTCTCTCACTCCGTTCCGTTCTTCTTTCTCCCCTCTTTCTTTGCCTGTTTCTCTCTTCTGTTCTCGTGTTCGTCTCTTTGCTTTGATCTCCCTATCTACTGCCTTCCTTCCTTCCTTATCTTCCCCTCTCGTTCTCTCCCTTCATCTTTCCTTACTCTTTCCTTCCTTTCTTCCCTCTTCTCGTTTTTTTTCCTACTATCCTCCTCCGCTTTCCCCTATTCTTCTTTCTCCTTCTCTCCCTCCTTCCTGTTTTTACTCGTTCCCTACTCTTTCCCTCCCTTCTTCCTCTTTCCTTTCTTCCTCTCCTACCTCCTTCATCCTTTCCTCCTCCTTCTTTCCTTCGGCGATTATTTTGGGTCCGGTCGTCATTATCGGATGTTTTTTTTTTCTATCGTCTCCTTCCTTTTTATTTTCTATTTTTCGTGTCTGATCTCCCTCTCGGGAATGAGGGCGGCGTCATTTGTCGGTGTGGATTGAGATTATCCAGGTTTTGCGCGGTTTGTTTGGTTGTTGTTGTTCTTGTTAATGTTGTTGTTGTTGTTGTTGTTGTTTGAATCGTTTTATTTTTTGTGTGTGTTTTCGAAGGGGGGGGGCAGTATTTTTAGATTTAATTATTATTATTATTTCATTAGATGGATCAGTTTAATCTTATAACACGTTAAATATTTGCATTTTTAAAAATTTCATTTGGTATATTTATTATTTGTTGTTTCCAGTGTTCTTGTTTTTTTGCATTTTATACTTGGTACATTTATTATTTGTTGTTTTTAGTGTTCTTATTATCGTTATATTTATCTCTACTATTGTCGGGATCTTCGTTATTTTTATTACGTATGTTTCGTGTTAATATTGCTGGTATGTTGTCATTACTAATGTTGTTGATGGCGATGGTGTTCTTGTATCCTGATTATTATCGCTATTATTTTGCCCTGCCAGCGCCAAACACACACAAACGCACACACACACACGCATGCATGAATATATAATACTGTACATACATATACATGCATATACATTTGTACATGCACACGTACGCGTGCATGCACGCACGCGCGCACACACACACACACACACACACACACACACACACACACACACACACACACACACACACACACACACACACACACACACACACACACACACACACACACACGAGGGGAACGGATGGAGGGAGGGAGGGAGGGAAGAGGGAGCCATATTGATTCACAAGTGGAGAATGTTATGAAGATTGCGATTTTTTTAAGCTGATATACATACCCCGATAAAGTCGTTTGTCCGGCTGTTTGTTTGTTTGTGTCCTGGCCGTGCTTCAAGGGAGTTTGTGTTGATTATTAGTGGTGTACATGTATGACTGTGTGTGTGTGTGTTTGTTTGTTTGTTTATGTTTTTTGGTTCATTTTAGCGTCCCAGGCCCGTGCGAGTCCGGAAGGTGTTTTACGTATGCCTTTCTTTGCATGTGCGTGGTATAACGAACCACATATGAATTGTATATGGTTTGTGTGCAATCCAAGTGAGCAAGATCTGGCTGGACCCTTAAATTACGTGCATATGTCGCGTGCACGATATAGTACATATGCAATGCGCACGAGACAGTACATATGCAGCGTGCACTATACAATAAACCACACTGCATAGCTTGCATGGCGTTCTCTCTCGCGAACCTGTATTCTTTGGATAGTGCATGAGTGCGCACAAGTGTAGTTCGTCCAACGGTGACGTAAGAAGAAAATGCGTGCGTGCAAGAGCGCAGAACGCTGGTTCGTGCGGTACGGACGCGCGGAAAAGCAATATTGGAATTTATGTCTGGGTAGTACAAGATCCCTTTTTCCTTGCATTTCTCTGTCTCTCCCCTCGCACTCTCTCCCCTCTCTCCACTCGTCCTCTCCCCTCTCTCCTACTATGCACCTTGACGGGTCGGGGACGGAGGCGGAGTTGGGCGGAGGGGGGGGGTCCTCCCCTTCGTCATGAACTTCATGCATGTGACCTGTGGTGGGTTGAGGGTCGGTCAGATCGTGATGGGTGGGCTGAGTGGGCTCGACTGAAGGGGGGGCGGGAGGGGAATGATGCAAGGGTGAGTCAAGGGGTCGGGTGGGCCAAGGTGGATCGAAGGGGTCGGGTGGGTCAGGGTGGGTCCAAAGGTCTGGTGGGTCAGGGTGGGTCGTGCCAGTGTCGCTTCGCTCCACGTCGCCCGGGCGAGCCTTGGTCTTGGCCAGGTCACGGTGGGCCGCGGTGGGCTGGAGGGCCAGAGGGCCAGAGGGAGAGCACGCCCCTCCCCCTTTCTCTCCTCCCCTCCGCGCTAGCGTGCCGGCGTGCCCGGGGCGGCCCTCCGAGGCCCTCCGAGCGGCGTTTGTTTTGGTCAGCGGCCGCGTCGCCATGGCAACGGGTAAACAATGTGGCGACAATTAGGGCCGCCACGTGCCGCAGTGCCGCCGCCGCCCCTGACCCCGCCCGCCATGGGGTCGCCCTCTCCCTCTGGCTCCCCCGGGGTACGGACACCGGGGCAAAAGATCCGGACGCAGGGGCTGTCGTGGGCAGAGCGAGAGCACCGTGGGCAAGGGGCTTCCCTTTTCCCTGGGGGGGGCACGGCGAGGGCGGGGGCGGGAAGGGGCGAAGGAAGGACCAATGAGAACTGGCCATGTGTGGGGGTCCAGAAGGGGGGGTTTGGACCTGCCTGGCGCCGCGCTGGCACCACCACACCACACACCACGCCATCACCTCCTCCACCACACCACGCCACTCACGCCCTCCCGCCCGCACGCCCACGCGCAGCCAGGCGGCTAGGCAGGGACCACCTTCAGCACGCCCGCAGCGCCCCGGCCACCCGGGCCAGGTACGCCCATCCGCAGTACTTGAGGGGGACCTTCGCGGCTGAAGAGATAGGCAGAGGGTGACTTGAGAGGTCGACCTAGGCCCCGGATGAGAGGGTAGGTGAGGACAGGTGCGACTCAGGTGGGCGGGCATAAAACGGGCGCCGAGGCCACAGGTGCAAAGGCAAGAGGCGCGGGCGGGCGGGCAGGTGTGTTGGGCGGGCGTCAGGCGGGCGTGGGGCGGCGGGGGTGCGAGAGCGAGGGAGAGAGCGAGGGCCAGCGGTCGTGGGCAGTGAGCGGCCGGTCGCATTCCCTCCATTACGGTTCCCGCCGCCGCCCTCGCCGCCCGCCCACGTACCGTCTCGTCATCGCCTTCTCCTTCGCCCGCCGTTTCCTTCCTCACTCGCCCTCGGGCCTCCTCTCTTCCCCGTCCCCCGCTCCCGCCCTTCCCGCCCGTGCCCAGCGCGTGCCCTTCTCCTTCCGCCCTCGAGGTCCTGCTGAGGCGGTGCACGTTCGCCCGTTCGCCTTGCGTCCTTGACCACCCCGCGGCCCGATCTCGCCGTCCTGCCTGGGTCGTGTCCTCTCCTGCCTTGTCGCCCCCGCCCGCGCGCCAATGTCGGACTCTGAGCTCGACCCTGTAGAAGGTAACCGCAGAGCGAGTGTTGTGTCCTGCGAGTGTGTTGCGGGAGAGGAAGGGGGGAGGGTTTGGGTATTTTGAGCTCTCAAGTGAATCCTACGGGCATGACCTCACTTGGCCTGGCCTCCTATGTGACCCACACCTGACGCGCACTCCCCCTTCCTTCGCGCTCCCCCTCCTCGCTTCCCCCCTCCCTTCCCTCCTTCCCCAGTCCCCTCCCCCGCATGCCCTTAGCGCAGCGCTTGGTGTGACGGACGCAGTCTAGCGCAAGGGAGCGTCGCACCCGGCCGCCCGTCCCGCCCTGTCGTCAGGCATCCCCGCCCCTGCCCCGTCCCGTCCCTTCTCGTCCCTAGCGCCATCACACCTGCCTCTTTCTCCTCTTCCCTCCTCCCCCTTCCCTGCCCTTCCCCCGCCCTCCTGACGTTCATAGTGTGGAGAACACCTGTGTTGTGAGTGTGTGTGCTGCTGCTTCTCTTCTCTTCTGCTGTGGCGTCAGTCCAAGGCGATCGCGCGTCTGAGAGAGAGACTGTGTGTATCAGTGTAAGTATCGAGTGATGTATACAGGCGTGGATTCCCTCTGCCAGCGGTGTGTGTGTGCACGAAATTGTGTAACCCCCCTTTTATTCTGTTCGTCGCATTCGTTGGTGTGTTTGTAAGTATATTTATAAGCGATCCGTATTCTGCGCTGTGTTCGCGGTAGCAGGCAGGTACGTCTCTCCCCCATAACGAAGAGAATGCTGTATAAGTAGTTTTCTGTGCGCGCGTGTGTAAGTATAAGTAGCAGCCTCTATGTCGCATGTGGAAAAAAATGTGATAAAGTGTCGCGCTCATGCTTACCCTGGTTACGTGGCTTGTTATGCGAGCTCAGTAATCAGAACACCTGTCTTGTGATCGGTGGGACACGGCGGATAGGTTTTTACGCTGGGTATTTACATAATTTTTTGATTTATGAGACGGGTGTTTAGAGTAAGGCTTGTGGCTGCCTATGTCTAATTTCCCGATGGCTAAGGGGAGAGTCGAGATTGCCAGCATATGTTGCGGAGTAAGCGTATACTGTGAATCGTATACAAATGCACGCACTCGCACGCACACAGCTCGTCGCCCTATGATGAGCACACCTGTCGTCATGCAAAGCGCCATGGCCTCTCCCCCCGCGTGGCTGTGCAGGCCGGCCGTGCATGACGCTCTCGATCGGCGTCACCCACGCGGTTCCCCCTCC